GCTCAGCAAGATTCTGAACATCTGAGGGGCCCTGACCATTTTCCTATATTTTCCCTACAGTGGCCAAGCCCCTTGGCCTCTGGGTCATACCCCTCCTGTTGGCGGGGACCTCTGCATCATTGTGTGATGTGACTGAGCATGCCATCCTTTTTGAAATGCTCCTCTCTTCGCCCTGATTGTCCTCCTTTTGCTGACTAACCATTCTGTGGCCTTTGCTGACCTTTCAGATATCCGTGGGTGGTGGAGTTTCTCCCTCCGTCCCGTCCCATCATCTGGGTGCTGTCAGCTTCTCCATTCCTTCCAGCTACTCTTGTACATGGGTGATTGTGACATTTGTCTTCCTCATTCATCTCTCCCTCCTGAAGGCAGCTGTTTATATGTGCTGTCTAGAAATCTCTGCTGCACGTCCAACAGGCCTCTCGACATGCCCAGCATCTGTGCCCGTGCCGCCTTTTCTCTCTCTGCCAGCTGTCTTGGTAATAGCAACACCAGGAGGCAGGGAGTCCTAACAGGCTTCTCCTTTCCTCTGATGTTCATTCTTCCCCATGCCCTGCTCTTCTGCCTTCTATCAACATCTCTTGAATTGGTCACATTTTTTTTTCCCACTGTTTTTGTCTGGTCTTTCCCTGAGGAAAGCCTGGTGCCTTCAGAGACTTCACATGATGGATTGAGAGATACAAGTACACACACAGTGACACATAAGCATGGTGACACACACACACTTTGATATGCATGTGGTTTATGGTTGTCCATCAAGTCAGATACAAGGCTCCTACATGGTCCCAGTCACACAGAGGATGTGGCTTCAGAGCATACAGAGTAAAACATGAGCACAGACCCAATCAAAGGTGGATACAGCCACAAACGTAAAGGTAGACATTTGCCAGCAAACCCAGAGTTATAGATACGCACACAGTCACAGACAAAGACAGAGCAGAGCTGCAGATATGGAAACACAAAGTCACAGACATATACCTCCTGAGGTTCCCCCCAATGGAAGCCAAAAAGTAAGAGTCGGACAAAGAAGGGAATCCTATCACCAGCAGCTCTTTTCAAATGCCCGCTGTGAGGAGCTCAGAGAGTCATGTGCACCTGGAGGCATTTCTACAGTAACCTCCACCTCCACCCCACCCCAACCCTTCTAGGTGCTGTTTCCCAAGGTGCAGAGCCTCTCGCTTCTTTTCTTGGAGACTTTGGATTTAGGGGTGACACAATTGTGCTTGCTGCCACAGTTCTGGGATGCTGTGGGAGTCGAGGAGGTGGACTAGCAGCTGTGGGCTTGGGGTGCTGAGGAGCTGGAGGACACCAAGCAAGCCTGAGGCACCCACAAAGACAAGTGTATCACCCATTCAGAGGCTCCAAAACGCAAGCAAGCCCTTCATTACAAACAATGGAACGTTCGCTGTTGATGATGCGGCATTGCTTCCATCCCTGAAAAGGAGGAGCTGAGGCCTTTGTTGCTCCGTGTAGGTCCGAATCGCCAACCCCTTACATTTGCACAGGACTTTAAGTCTTTTCAAAGTGCTTTTCTAGACATTCTCTTATCTGAGGCTCAAGATTTTTTATTGTAAATGAGATTTGTGTATTACACGTATTTTATGTTTTCTGTTCTTCTACCATCCCTTAATAAACTGACGGAATCCTCACAGACGTTATATGTTAGTGTCGCATGAATATAGTCCACTCTTTTGTTGTGACATTCTCTCGTCTGTTGTGCCCTCTCCTCTCTATGCCATTTTCCAGCTTGGTTTGGGTTTGTTTTGGTTGGTTGCGTTGGTTGGGTTTTTTTGTTTCTTCTTGTTTTTTCTTCTCACCATCTTATTACATGTCCAGACTCCAGTTTTCTGTTTTTGCCTGGATATGGAGTCTTTTGTTTTCCTAGAGGCCAGTCTTTGATTAGGTTCTTTAGTTGAAATTTTGATATTCTTCTTCTATGCTTGATACAATTTATATACAATAGAATTCATCGAGTGTGGTGTTCTTTATTTTCCTACATATTTTATCCTCTCTGCTACCTCTGCTAGAGGCAGATTGGCGCAACTGTGACATAACATCCGTGAACTCTCGCCTTTGGTTGATGAGGGCTAAGCTTTCCTTGGGAGGTCTGCTGCAAACACTAGAGCTGACATACGGGCAACGCCTGGCATGTTGGCCAGCACATGCTCAACATGTCGTTATTACAGTAGTTTGTGGTGGTGCTGGTGGGAGCAATGGAGTGGTTCAGTAGAGGCTGGAACATTGTTTTTGTAACTGTCCTATTGGTAACTGCCTATAAGTGTCTCCCGCTGAGGGACCCAAATTTAACCATGTCTTTGCTGTTGAACATTTAGGGTGTTTTCCATTTTTTGCCCTTTATCCATCATGTTGCACTTAACATCTTCCTACATACATTTTTATTCTTCTTTTGGATTTAGCATTTAGATGTATTCCTAGGAGTAAAATGATAGCCTGAAGGAATACGTACATTTGTAAGGCTCTCAATAAATAAACGTTGCCCGATTGCTTTCCACAAGGGTACTACCAGTTTATACTCTCACCAAAATCAAGAGAATGACTATTTATAAAAGCTTTCTTAGCCTTAGCTGGTCTTGTTTCCTGTTTGACTTTTCTTATGTAAATTTTCCTATAAAACTAATACACACATGTATACACACTTTCATGGAGCCATGGTGCTACGGATAATACGGAGCTATTATTTATCACCTGATTTTGATGAGAATCTATTGCCCAAAGTTTGAGATGCTTACTTCTGATGATACAGAAGATAATTTTAATTTATATGTGGTGTTAAATGAGATTGGTCGACATATTGAAAATGATATTCCGTTTTCAGTTCTGTTCAGTCCTCTAATCAGATTGTAGAGTCCTCTGATCAGCTTGGTGCACCCCCCCCCCC